GCGCACACAGCGCCGAATGTTGAACACCCGTACACTAGATCGAATGCGTTGCCGTCGATGACCGACCCGGTCTTGCTGAATGTACCATTGTACAGCCCGGACGGAACACGTGCGAGCCAACTAGGAGCTCGGGAATACTCCCATGACGAGTTGGAGAGTGTTGCCCAGTTCGTCATCACGGACGCACACCCAGCCTTTGTAATCACCGCGGCTCGGGCAGCACTGGATTTAACCCAGTATCTTCCAGAAGGAGAAGTCGACATGGCCCAGGACGGAGCCACGGCATTCCTGCGATTCATCTTCGCAGCCCGACTCGGCAATTACTTTTGCCATTACACCTTGTACGGACTGTACCACAATGAAGCGATACCAGCAGCTGTGGAAACCCTCGTAGCCCAACTCGGCACACCAATGAGAAGTGTTATCCTAGCTGTCTGGATGCGTGACTTGCTGTACACCCACGAACGGTATGCGACAAAGTATGCCTTTCGTGAGGATCACGTAGATCCCAGCGACGATGCAACCCGATTCATCAGCTGGTACCGCGAAAACAAAACTTTGCCTAGCGGATTCAACTCGTCGCCCTACGAACCTTGGATGTCGGATGACATAGCACCCGGCGCACGACCGTTCGCGCTGCGGCTCCGCAAACAAGCGGCCAAGGAATCGAGGAAGAGCAGAGCGGAGCGCCCAGGCCAGGAAACAGATGAGACCGACGAGATGTCTCAACGGAGCGGCCCGGCGACTTGCAAACCTAGGGACCCGAACATACGGCCACATAACCGACCTGGCCCGGACGATGATGAAGAAGAAGATTACTTCGGCGGCGACAAACCCGTCGAAGTCCCACTCAGTTAAGATCGAGTTCCCACATTGGAACTCGATCCCCATTGGAATAACTTCAAGGAGGCATTGCCGAGAAACGGCACGGTCGAGAACCGACCTTCCGACTGAGAAACAGTCTAGCTGAGAAACAGCGCCGTCGAGAACCGACTTCGGAACGGAATGGACACTTCTTTAGTTCTTTTTTTTTGGAAAATGACCAACCATGTACGCGGCGGACGTCAACGACGATTTTGCCAGAAAAGCCGACTGCACAAGTCAGCCGGATTCTTTGGTCGGACCCGGAAACGCGTGGTTAGACCCGGGTATTTCGGCTCTTTCACCGTACCGGTACGTCCCCAAGGAATCCCTGGAACGAACTGGGCAATCGACCCCAGTTCACCAGCTTGGCAAAGACAGATCGTAACCACATCTGCTAACAAAGCAGATCGTCAACCACGTTCTGCGACCATCGGAGCCAACAGAAGCCCCAATCCGCGTTACATGGAGATCGATACTCCGGCCAACCGACTCCGGAGAAGAAACCGAGAGGATTACGCTAACATGGCGCGAAACACGTGACTGCGCGCGTTTCACGCCATGTTTGCCAAGCACCCGTGGCCAACTTCGGAACCGGGTAGCCGAGCAGCCTTCACCATTGTAAACGGCGGAAATCCCTCGGCCGAGCCGCCAACAGTGCAGGAAGACTCGGATTTGACTAGGTACGGGAGCCGACCACAGAGGTCGACTTCGTACTTTGCCCATAACCTGGAGACAACGGATACTGCGGCGCAAGTCGACCACAAAGGTCGGTTGTGCAAGCCGATCACAAAGATCGGTTTTGGAGACCCAAACTGTTCGACCTGTAACGATGCAGATCGTTAAAACCACGACTCGCTACCTTTAGACGATCACACAGATCGACGGAGTATTTGGTAGCCGACCAACAAGAAGTCGACCATGGACGGAAGCTGGCAGTAGCAACGTGGTAACTTAACCGGATTCTCCGTTTGAATCCAGACCTACAGGCTCTGTACCTGGAGATCAACCGCAGTCTCCCCCGGACGACATCGGGTAAACCAGCCGATTCACCGGTGACCACGACTACGCGCGTCTTCGAACGTGCTGCCATTCCCTGAAGAGGAACAGCGACGGTGATTTGGATACTGGTGTACCAACGACTCCGCCGCGACCTGCTTCCCCATGTCTCCAATGGAACATCCTAGGCAGACCCAGTTAGAATACTTGATCTGCACCCCCTTAACGAACCCCGATGACGATGACCACCTGCCCGCAACAGTACCGGCCAGTCGGTCTTCGTCAGCGGCAAAGAAAATTTCTCCGTGGACATGAGTCGTCTACCCCCAACAGAAGCGGCTAGGCGTCACAGGTTCGCGACAAAACAGAATGGAAAATCGGATCTGACGACCTCAGGGACTTGCATGTGCACGAAGTTTAAACCAAAGAGCTCAGCTCGGCAACCGGGGCCACAAAGACCCTTAGCGTTGTGAGCGAGCGCAGTGCATGATGAAACGCCAGTCAATCGGCCAACAGATGCCGGAGGAAAACCTTACCTCGCAGGACTGGGCGACCCAGAAGCAAGCAATTCGGATTGACCGACCTCAACAGTAGCTCGGATCCGACCTGGAGTTCACGTCAGAAATCACAGAAGGAACGGAGTTGTGTTGCCGAACATCCCTCTGCCAGTCCGAACTGACCGAAGGATGTCCTGACACCAAGGACCCGGCCAACTGTAGCCGAACGCACAGAACTCCTAAAATGAAGTCGACAACCATCAGATGGAGGTCGGAAGTAGGCGACAACAAGTCGGAAAATCAACCAGAAGTACGAAATCGACCTCCTAGTGGAAGAATTTAGCCTTTCGTCGGATAAAACACAAAGTTTTTCCGACTTGAGGAAGTCGGAAAATAGCCAACCTCCGAACTTGGATATGGATATCCGACCTCAAGCCGAGGTCGGAAGTGACCGTACACAAGTCGCACAACAAGTCGGCAAAGACATTTAGAAGTCGAGAACCGACCTCCTAACGGAAAAATCCGACCTTCGGACGGATGGAAACATAGTTCATCCGACCTTCCGAAGTCGACTATAACCGACCACATGTCGGAAGTCGGCAACTCAGTCAACATGACGGAAGAAGAACGACAGATATCTGCGGTGGATGAATTCGACTTGAAGGAACTTGTTTAGCCCCACATGGGCATGTTATTGCAGGTTAACCCTAGTCGACCACTGACGGATAGGATAACCGACCTCGACAGAAGGTCGGATAACAACGGAACAGATTGGATGGAAGTCGACTGGACACTTCCATCGATGAAACTCATGAATTCCGACCGGACCTTCGAGCCAGTTCGACTCGGATTACTACAAACCAGGCTCGTGGTAGCAGATTGAACGGTTGTAACCGACCACTTTTGAACGGAACTGCTGTACATGACGACCACACAGGCCGCATGACTTACTTACAGCTTTCTCCGACCTGGAACATAGCCGAATTCGGAACATAGCCGAATTCCCTTAGCCGCCGGTCGACTTACCGGTAGGCCGACCTTGGTCAAACCGACCTCGGTTCTATTCCCCATTCAGAGAGGATGCCTCGGCATTTGCAACCGCAACAGTGCCTCTCTATCCCGAACGGACAGATACGAGTCGGAAGTAAGTGTTTAACCGTGCTTATCCGACCTCGGTGAATTTAACCGGTTACAACGGGTAACCCGGGAACCGATGCCCCGGACCCAACTTACCGGATGAAAGTGGACAGGAGACCCCGTGGAGACTCAACTGCCCCGTGGACGTCATCCTAGTCGGAATAGGACCCCCGGACAGATTTTTGCAAATTTTTTTTTTACTATTAGCATTTTTCCTAACAAACGGAATTGTATTTTTCTAGTTCGATCTCTTTGACAGATCTGTTTTGTAACCCCTTTTGCTCACTGGAATTGTGATTAAACTTTATTTCATACTTTCTTTCGCGCTGTATACAACTTTCATTACACTTTTCTTTCACATTGTTCTCCGTTGCCAACAGAAGCAAGAAGCCAGCCAACAGAAGCAACACCGGTCCAACGAAACGCCCGAGCGGCTTCCGGATTTCTCGGCCGTGAGTGGCTTCCACTCATGGGTTCGGAAGTGAAGAAGGGACGGTCGACCAGACACCGGACTCCCACTGCCAGAGGACGCGTACCAGCGACCCCACTTTGGGTCCGACTGGAGAGTTGTGCGGTACTGGTGCGGTACCGAGTCGGAGCATCCTTCGCAGGAGCTCGGATTCCCGCCCAGAGGCATGTCAGAGGCACATGACTGCGCCTGGTGCATACGGCCCACCATGGACGTACTGCACTCATGCTTGCCATACCGCCTCTCTCGCTGTACGTACGTGTGCTGCTGCACTGCACTCATACCCGCTGAAGCGGATATATGCGGCGCACACACTGAGCATACTTGCTCTCTCGTCCCTCTCTCGCTGTATGACTCAGCGTACGCTCGCGTTGGATTGAGTCCAGTCTGCGCATCATCACACAGCTGATGGCACACAGCACGTGCTTGCCGCCAGTTGCTTCTTTCACGCCTTGACGAACGCTCAAGAGCTCTTCTAGCATTCACTTGCTTGCTTAGCCATCAGTGCTTTGTTTTGCTTTCCCTGCTATTACGCAGCATTGTTCCCTTTATTTGTCAATAAAGCACACTCGTGATCTCCTCGCGCTTGCCTGTTACACAGTCCTCTTTACTTACCAGAGTATTATTAGCGTTAATTATGCAGGTAGTTTACATAAGTACGTAGTTATGTTACATAACATAACTTATGTATAAACGACAGTATTAATCTTTTGGATTTTCGACACTGGGCATAAAATTCACATTCAAATGTTTCGCGCCTGTTTACCGATGTTGAAAGAAAACTACATGCTATCATTATTTATGATAATAAATACCTTGTGTGTTGATGTAAAGAGCTTGATGAATGCATATGATGCTGAATGTAAAGCTACAAAGCGTATGAAAATCTGGGCAAGCTTGGAAAAGGATCTTATGGTATACTTTCTTTTGTGAGACTTTAGTACGGTGCAGTATGTTTTATACACATTGTCCATCTGAATTTTCAGCACACACCTTAATTTTGAGCGCACCAAATCTGTAATTTTTTTTATCATCTAGCGGGCATCTAACAATCTAATTTTTATCCTTTACTTGGAGCTGTTACAAAGAATCGCCATATTCTGACTGGTAAACGCCAAATAAAAGTTATCGCTTACAAACTGCAACCCTCAGGGTTCACAGCATATAAGTGCTGCATATAATTATTTACTTTAATACGAAATTTTATTCAAAAAGACAAAAACTGATCCATGCTTCCTGATCAAAAACTGTTGCAGGCGGTATGCTTGCCATTAAATGCTTCTTTGCTGACGACAAGGATTACGCTGTCGTAAAAAAAATGTTTTGGTAAGTTTACAGTTAACACACTGATTACACTTCGCATAAACGTACTCGTAAAGCTCACTTTGGCACGTGTGACCTTTTCAACCTGCACTATGTTCATGTACATCGCTGTGCACTCATTAGGTGGAACTCAGCGCACTGCGCGATGTACGCCACGATAATGTCGTCAAGTTGTTCCATGTGTTTATGGAAAATTCCGTGTTTTATGTGGTATTTGAATAACTCAGCAAAGCACTGCTGGACGTGATCCACAAAGCTCCGAAGAAGGTCTGGGTTCGGGTCCGCACACCAAATCTTTCCTGTCCAGCTGCTGCGCGCTGTATCGTATATCCATTTAAGGAATGCAAGTAAGGAACACAGAATGTACAATATAAATGGTCGTGTAAAAAATTATAGTTTTTATAACTTAACTCGATCCCTTTTAAAAACAATGTTTTACAGTATCTTCATCGCGAATCCGCGATGTAAAACCGGAAAACGTGTTGATCACCAAAGACGATATTTTACGCGTTGCAGATTTCGATTTCGTCACGAAGCAGGCGTATAACGGCCAGCGGTCTTCCTCCTATCTCGCCACAAGATGGTATCGCGCTCCTGAACTTTTGACAGGAGACTATTGCATGGAAAGTACGTATGAACAACGAAAGGTGAAAAGTCAGTTTTTCTGTGTCACCGAGAATTCGGCCGCGGAAATGGATCTGCTGCGCACAGTATTTCGATTTGAAATCTTGTACTTAATGATGCAGTAATCATCAAACTTTATGTGATTGTAAACAAATGTAAACGTAAATGTAAATGTAAACAAATATCAAAATCTTGTTGGTAGTACATAGAGCTATTAATTAATGGTGTTAATATGCTATTTTGCAAATTTCAAAATGCTTTGTTATTAAGCTATTTTTTAGGGCTGTTGATGTGTGGGCAACTGCAGCCGTCGCAGTGGAAATGATCAAAGGTCAATCGATGGCCTCCGGCACTGGTCAGTTTGTTAGGCACGGGTTGGTGCATACAATAACATGTACAATATCCTGTATACAGTTTTTCGTGTGTATTGTCACTATTGTGTATTATTTTAACACTTTTTATAAATGTTACTAAAATTAATTTTTATTAAATTACTTGTTATACATAAATGACACGCGTTTGTACAATCAGCTGCTAAACATGAGTCCTAATGCTAATGAGGTAAACATCTAAATTTACAAAACCATCTATTATTGACACTTGTATAATTAGCTGTGGCTTCCGTACAGGATGCGGATCAAAATTAATGGTGAAAACAGTGCAAACTGTCGGCCGTATCCCGAAGTACATGTGGAACGCGCCACGAAAATGTACAGCAACTGCGCCGATCAGACTAATGACGGTGCACCATTTACCGGTCTGGACAAGGTGCTGTGTCAGCACCCGGGACCCGAGGTGATTAAACTGACCAGTGAGCCTGGAACCAGACCCACTGATCCGTATCCCGGCAGCCCATCTCTCACATTCAATGTGAGAGCCGTGAGAGATAGCCGAGAGCCGAGAGAGGCTACCGATCACTTCGGCCGTTTTCATTTCGGCCGCAATTCAGTTCGGCCACAGCACATTTCGGCGGAAATACCAAAACTTTTCACCTGCACCCCGTAACATGCTAAGTTCTCGTAATACGCGAAATTTTGTTCTGTTTCATTTTCTACTCGTACGCACAATTTGCTTGAGCAGTTTTTGAAGTGTACAGTAACAGTCACCATCATGTCTCTCTTTCCCGATTGTTCTGATGAACACCTCGTCGACCGTCATAAGGCCGATGATACGGAGTTACGAAGTCTACAGTAACGGGAGAGTCTGAAAACTTAACCGTACGACACTTAGGAAATCATGAAAAATTTAAAGAAATCTTCATTTCATAAAGAAAATAAGGATAACCTAAGAACAGCTATGAAAACATAAGAAAACAAAAAAAAAGAAACCTAAGATAACCTAAAAAACCTAAGAAACCTAAGAAAACTGACAAAAAATCTAAAACACCTAAAAAATTTGTAAACCTAAGAAACTTAAGAAAGCCTAAGAAACCTAAGGAATTAAAAAATCTAAGAAAACCTAAGAAACTTAAGAAAACATAACAAACCTAAGAAAAACCTAGAAAACATGGGAAACCCAAAAAAAGCTATAATGGCCGAAACGTCCATTTGCCGAAATGAGCGTTGGCCGAATTGAGTGTTGGCCGAAGTGAGCCGCGGCCGAAATGAACGTTGGCCGAAGTGAACCAGTGCGGCCGAAGCGATCGGACGCGCTCACATTCACTTCACGGAATACGGCAAATATTTCGTCGCCCCGCGTCCGATCACTTCGGCCGCGTTACATTTCGGCCGCACAGGTTCACTTCGGCCAACACTCAATTCCGTCAGCGCTCATTTCGGCAAATGGACGTTCCGGCCATCATAGCTTTTCTTGGGTTTACTACGGTTTCTACTAGAAACTAGAAAGTCACTTTCTAGGTTTTTCTTAGGTTTTTTATGTTTTCATAGGGTTTTTAGGTTTAGTATTATGGTTTCTTAGGGTTTTCAGGTTTCTTAGGTTTGTTTGATTTCTTTGGTTTCTTTGGTTTCTTAGGTTTCCACAGGTATTTGTAGGTTATCCTTCGGTCTTTAGAATATGAAGATTTCTTTTCATTTTTTATTTTTTCCTAGTTGTCGTACGGCTTGGCTTTAATACTATCCCGTGACGGTAGACTTTGTGACTTCGCATCATCGTCCTTATGGCCGATGATACGAAAATGAATGGTGGCCAAAATGATAGGGCGCCATGACAGTCGACGAGGTGTTAATCAGAACATGTACAATCGGGAAAGAAAGACATGATATGATGGTCGCAGTAACACTTCAAAACTGCTTAAACAAATTGTGCATGCAAAGTAAAATGTGAACAGATCAAAATTTCGCGTACAACAAAAACATAGCTAGTTACATGGTGCAGATTAAAGTTTTGGTAAACCCTATTTCCGCCGAAATGTACTGTGGCCGAAGTGAATTGCGGCCGAAATGAATGACGGCCGAAGTGAATGGCGGCCGAAGTGAGTGGCGGCCGAAAACTTTGGCCGAAATAAAAACGGCCGAAGTGATCGGTAGCCTCGTCGCCGGCTATATCGTAGCCCATTTGCTCACAGAAATACAAAGGTACGATCAGACCACTTTAATTATCAAGCATTATCCCTCACAATTTTAAAGTACAAAGCATCAGGGTACTGTCAGATTGCTGTGTTACACACCTGGTACGAGTGGTATGGTATCACAGCTTTGAAACAAAACTTCGTAGAGTATAAGGAAATCAGTTCGTTTTGTAATTATTATACCGTAGTGCATATGATAGCCTCCTCTGTGTAGTCTCCTTCATATGCACTACGATTCTACGTAGCCCTTAACGCGAGGTTTTCAGCGATGTGGCCATTTCGCGGCAACTCATATATAACGAGTACAACTACACTCCCATAACTGTGTTACTATTTTTAGCGATCGTCATTTGCATCCAAACCTATTCTGCAGGCTCCACCGTCCGTGCGCAGTGAATTTGACATACTACTTCACCCACCGTGCTTCAGCAGTCTTTTCTTCAACAGGCTTTCTTGTCAAACTCGCAAAATTCTGTAATCTTAAGGTTTGATAAAGCGCTTTAATTTTGTTTCACATTATTTATTATGTATGCACGAATTCCATGTGTAATTGTTTAATGGCACTATTATCACACGACTTTGGTTTCTTGAGATGTGTCGCGCCGGAAAGCGAAAAGTACCAGTTGCAAAGCTTTGTAATAATGTTCCATGGCTGAACAAGAAAAGCAGAAAAATAACTAAAACCTCTTTGAAATGTAAGCAGATGTCTGATATTAATCATAACTGAACTATCTTTAATAACTGGCGTCTGCTTGTTCACATTTGTGTCTTTGTAGCTGAGATTGACGATTACGACGACTTCTACCCGGTTCACGAAAAGCGTGTTTGTCACAAAATTCAGTCCATATATCAGGATGCGTGGATGAATTTTGTTCTTTCCACTTCCCGATTCATGCTAGAAAGTATTCCTCTCGCATGGACAGCTTACAAAAATTTGATAACAGATCACGGAATGCTGACCGCTCACGCCACTAGAACGGTAAGAAGTTAAAATGTACCAGATTATTTCTAAGTGCGAAAGCCCATCGACTTTACTGTCTAACAACAAGTAGCACTGCATAATAGCGCAAATTTTCATGATTTGCAGAAAACTGAAAGTAACGCTTCGCACTCTACTGGCTCCAATTGGGAGCTCTGGTTTTTGTGGGCCAGTACGTGGATTGGATTCATTCTGCTTTGGCTGATTTCTATAACGCAGTTGCATATATTAACAAAGATTCGGCAGTGGCGTCAGGGCGCGGGGAAAGATGAGTTTTACAAGATCATTTTGTCGCTGGGTTTATTCAAACAAACGCTTGAGAGCAAATTCTTACTGACAATGAATTGCGGCGCGCTGCTACTAGTGTTCAAGATATACGAGGTCGAAACCTGGTGTTTAGATCGGTGTCCGACCTCGACACGCTTGGACATCGATCCGGCGATTCCGATCATAGCTTTGCTTATCGCGCCATGGACCGTGTTGACCACTATAATCATATTCAATGGGCACTCGTGTTACTCAGAAATATCTCGTTTGACAGGCCGCCGGCAGCGACTTCGGTTCCGCATCTGCACTGCCCTACGGAAGTTGAGATGACGCGGGTGCGCCACATCCCTGGTTTCTGGCCCACTGCTGTGGAGGGGACCGCCCGCTAGGCAGCGCCAAATATTTCGTGAATGGTCATATGTTGATTTACTAATTTCTGAAACGTTTCTACATGGCTTGGCAGGGCTATTTGCACAAGTTCGGACACTTTTTCCAAATAATTACCACATGTTCCCCGTCTTGAATTAAAGCCGTATTACATTTTTGCATGAGCAACACATGTGTTCAGCAACTTTTCCACTTAGGGTTTTTATGCTTAAGGCATTCCTCGAATTACAGTGAGATCGAAACCATAACGGGCCAGCTTCGAAATGCGACTCGACACACCTATTGTGGGATGGATCTCCCATTTCATAATTCGTATAAAAATTTCAAAGCTTTTCGAGTCCTGACTAGTTACTTTTATCGTGTTCGCCAACCGATTCTCTTGTGGATGGTGTCTAACACGGCGCGACTGCTCTCAGGGCATCGTGACCTTTGCACCCTTTCTGCGGGTACCGTCGAAATGTAGGAGGACCTCTTTCGGGCCCTGGCCGTACTACCGTGGAAGGTCGTAGGTGTCAATTTTTGACCAAATCTTGTTTATAGATGACTAAACATGTATTTTAGGTTTTCCGCGCATTCCGCATGGGACCAATCAATGCAGCAAGTGGGGCCGGTTTCGGTGAATGGGAAGCGCATACGAAGGTTCGTGCTTGCACTGCTATCTCAAATTTTGTGTATTTATTTTATTTTTTAATTTATTGTTGCTCTTTACATTTTTATTAATGCTTTAAGATGCGTTGTTTCAAGGAGTTGCTTCAAAGATCATGGCGCGCATGGGATTCGTAGTCGGGTAAGTAGTGGGAAATGCCTGTAATTTTCGTGATTTTTACATGGATGCTCACGCCCTATTTTATATAGTACAGGGTTGGGAAGCCGCGCGGAGGGTAGAATAGAACCAGTGATCGCCCAAGTTTATCCACAAGGTGGGATTCTTTTTTAATTGTATGTGACGCATTTTGTTCGCTTGGTCTGGATGTGACTAAGTGGTGTTTGTGTGATAAGTAGGTCGCACACTTGATTATTGTATGGATCTCCGCGAACAGAAGGAACTTCCCAAGGTTGGCGAAAAGCTGCGGAAGGTCAACAAACAGAAGAATGCACAGCTGAAGCCGAATCCCAGTCCCAAAGCCGACGTATTTTCCATCATCAATGAACAGATGAAACTTCATCGCTGCAATACCACTCCGCACGCCGACACACAGCCGGTCGACAAGAGTTCCAACAAGATAAAAAATGCCAAAGAACAAAATGTTGAGGTGAATACGTCATTCTGTTCAATGTCTGAGTGAATATGTGTGTCAACAAAATCTTATCGTAGCTAGTGAAACTTCAGGATAAAATCAGTTTTCTGGAAAAGGAACTGGTCCGGCTTCGAACTTCATTTTCACGAAACCAGACAACGTAAGTAACATTAGCCTTTATGGCCCCTTTCAAAAAGCTAACGGAATAGAACAGATTGATTGGTACCACGAGCGGTTTCGTTTTAGTGACAAGAAAGCCGCAAGTATGATTGCTGAAAAGATCTCTGGGAAAGAGCGAGAACTAACGTTGCTCCGGAGGAAACAGAATACCATATTTCAAGATCTCAATAAGCAAAAGGATAAAAAATGCTTGAGCGTTTTTTGAAGCAATCCTTTACAGAGTTTGTGTTCTCAAAATTTGTCTGTGATAGTTTTTTTAGAGCTGAGCAAACATTTACCTGGTGTGAGTTTCGTTATCGTTAGTGTACAAGCAGGTGTTACTCCTGACTGTATTTTATTTTGTTACGGTGTTACCCATAAACTGTCATGTGCTCAAGTGTTGTTACCTTTTGTACAAAAGGTAACTATTTTTAAAGGTTACATACATATTATAGGCCGAAGATTTCCGTCATGGTCAAATGGTTTTCGAAATTAACAAATTAATTCTAAGTATTACATATCCGATTATTTAAGCGGGTTTATTTCTGATCTTGGTAGTTGGTACTCGTCCTTTACTTTAGACTGGGCTTTGACAGAATTCATTAGCGGAGTTAGTGACCGGTGCGAAAGTAATAAGTAAAAATTACTTCCTGTCATATTTGCTAACATTCTTGCCCTTGTGTTCTTGCCAGGTTTCCGTTTTGCCATGCCGAAGATTACGTATGTGAATCTGGATTCTGTCGCTCTATACTACTCTGTACGCTGTTTGTAGTGATGTGCTACTAAATAAAACTAAATAAATGCTATTTAATTAGTAAAAGCTTCCCTAAAATTAAATGTGTAGTAAACAGTAAAGTTTTACAGGCAAAATTAGTAAAAGTAAGTAAATACTCAGCTATATTAGTAAATAGTAAGTACATAGTAAGATTTGGCTTTCGCTAAATAAAAGTTATTTACTAATGCATTTACTGTACTAATCGAATTTTAGCGGATGACCAGATGAAAGACTCATTGCTGTCTTGAGGAATTTGAAACACTGCATGACTGCAATGCAGCAGCAGCCTGGCAAGCCGATTGTGCAGCGCATTTTACTGTTAGATTTTGCCTTTACAGACCATAGATTCGTATAGTATGAGGACAGTACTTATATTTTGATTCCTTCATGAAATGAACAATCGTCCCAAATATGATAATAACATTGAATTAAAAATTAAGTTAAATTAATTTAGTATAATTAGTAAGTAATTGGTTGGGTAAAATGGGAATAGTAAGTAATAGTAAGTATTTGAAAAATTTTGGAGTTAATAGTAAGTAATAGTAAGTAAAAGTTTTGGAAGATTAGTAAATAGTAAGTAAGGTAGCAGGAAGCTGTAGTAGCACATCACTAGCTGTTTGCTGTCTGCTGTTATGAACTTAAAAGCAATAAGTTGGTTTACTCAATCCACAGAGACAGAAATGCGGTAACCGATAATTTTTTCGCACCAAGTTACTTTTTGTCGGCACGCCGCCTTTGCTCCAGGTTACGGCGTCACCTTGTATAACCGGTTTAGTCAACTGTTTAATCAAGTTGGCGACTAGATTTATTACTGACATTTAAATTATGTGAATGTTCAGCATAATAATTATACCTCGACGCCGGTTGCAGCGGTTCTGTCTGCATACATTTTATTTTGACATTTCAAAAAGTATGAAGTGCACTGTTGTTTTATTACTGTAAAAATTGTTACTATCGCGTTAAAATTAACTAATCTTTTGATAGTGCTTATATTTAATTAGGCTTATTTTAAACAGTGCCGGATGGAAGTTTCATTTCAAGGTCATGGAAAGTTACGAAAGGTTAACACACGCGCAAACACGCAGTTTATCCGAATTTCCAGACCGCAACATGATGTGTTCTCCATCATCAGTGCACGAAAATGAGATTTCATCGGCAGACCGATCACTCCCGCTGCCAAATACATATACAATCGCATCGGCCAAGGAATTCCGCAAAGATTAAGAAGCATGCCAAGAAACAAAATGTGGAAGTCATCATTTTGTTCTCCACGCTTTTTATTTCAGCGCAGCGGCCGCAGTGTGAGGCGGGGTGATATTAATATCGCTGTCGTAATTTCGTGCGATTGATTAAACGTTAGAATAAAATCACTGTTCTGGAGAAGCAGAACTCACGCGACTTAACAGCTCGTGCGTAACCAACCGACTGCGCAACTGCATCGCGTGTTCTACGTGTTGATGAATGTGTTTTGTAGTACGTGGAATGGATGGAAAATATATTGTACAAGCTGTCTTGTGCTTTTTTTAGTTGGTGTAAGACTGCAACAAGCGCTACGGCGTTACGGGATTAATGTTGACTAATTATGTGCACCAACATAATCTACGCAACAGCCTTACGAAGCAGTGACCTTATCTTTCTAAATAAGTATCTTCCTCAGAATTAACTTATGCTGCAAACACATTACACTGTTTAGTAACATTACAAAACGACAACAATAAATTTGCCTTACTGGGAACGTTTTTAGGAATTGAATACAAGTTCAGATGAAATTAAACATTTGTCGTTGCCGTCGAACCGATTTCCGACGTTTGATTCTCTAAGGCCCATTAATGCAATTATGTATTTATTGTATGTTCTACCATACGTTATTGCAGAAAAAATCTAAAAGTTCGGCCAGGATTATAAGGAATCGTAGATAGCCGCTTACACATACGTAAGATTGATCCGGAATTCGCATTTCCTTTTATTTAATTATAGACTGGCCTGTGTTATTTTAGTCATGATCATCTTATGTAAGCGCTAAAATAAATGGTAATTAAGCACAGCGAATTTTTTTGCCGACCGTGATTGCATTGACCAAAGGTGCCATTCCTAATTATGTTCGATAGAGCCGTTGACTTTTGATCTAGACGATTGCTCCTACGCATCGTCAGTTTTGAATTATTAAATCTGGATCCGCTCTAGATCTACATGTTCTAAAGACTATGTTGTTTTATGCTCCCTGCTGCTATACACAAAGAATACGTTTTTTGTTATCCGAATATACGAGTACTGCTGTATTTACGTATAGTTTAAATATTTTTCGTATCTGACTGATATTTAATTTTTTTATACTGCGTCATATCCTAGTACGTACTTATGTGTTTAATACCGGCTTCTGTAAATTTATATCGTGGCATTTGAACAGTGACAGCACTACCAGAATTGCGGTTCTCTATAGACTGACAGTACTTGTTCAACCAAAATTTTTAGTATGCCCTTTTAATGTTCTAATGAAAATAAGGGTAAATTTAATGTACTAAAATAATCTGCATTAATAGTGTTGCAAACTTGCAATTGCCCTTCGATCATATATAGGATGACGTATGATTTGACAAATTGTTCTTATGCATCTGACCGCTGGGATCGACCTTAATTATGCAGATTTGTCCTAAATATTTCTGAATATGAATATGTACAGCTCGTGAACGGGGCGCAGCAGCAAACAACTCAGCACGACTGCCGCAATCAGCTGATCCAAAGGGATCATTTTGGATATTCTGTCTCTGGATCTCATTTGCCCAGTATAGGAAACTGATTACGCAAATTGGCTGACATGAAAGTATGAATCATGGAGTTGCAAAGTTGTATTTATTGCGCAGAATATATCTTGACACAAGTAACTGAACACCGGAGGGACAAATCAAAAATGACAGAGCTATTTCCCAGTCAAAACAGCGATATCACGTGTGATGTATACAACCAGATTTTGGCACCTGAATTATTAACATTTTTGTAAACCGCGCGCGCAGTATATGCAGTAGAAAAAAACCAGATTAATATTATATATCCCAGCATTGACAAACTGCAACATCTAAGCCAATCTATCAACAAAACTGCATGAATACGACTAACTAAAAACCGGGCGATCACATCAAATTTGACTTTCCACTGTATTCCTTCCACTGGGAATTGGCGTCCAGAATCGCTGTGGGACGATAACGTCGCCGTCTGCAAATATATTACCGTTTAAATGGGGTACGCGAAAAACATGGTAATACCGGCTGCGCCGGGGTCACGATGAATAATGTTATTCAGGTCGACAAATGATTGACATTTATGGATCTTCAGTGTTTTCCCTTTTGAGAAGAATTCCAGTAAATATGTTACGTGAACAGTGTTAAGTGTGATGTTGTATCGGAATGGTAAGAATGCTGCTTCCTGCTCGGCGGTGTTGAACTCGTTACTATTAATATACTATGTTTCACTCTATGTGTCCAGCAAAACAACCACGTTTTAAGACCGCGTTTATCACATAAACACCGACATAAAATGTTACGAAACTCTTGACGGATTATACTAATTTAGTTAAGCTTTTTTCTAACTGAGGGTGTAGTGAGTGAATGGGTCATTATCATAATGTACTGCCAAGATATGAAAATTGGGGATTTCGTAATCCCGGATGAATTTAGAATGTACAGGAACCTGCAGATAGGTTACAGACCCAAAAACAGCAAAGACATAATCTACAGCTCAAGTAGTGATATGTCATTTATCATTGTTGATCTGCAATTCGTTCTGGTTCACTTGAAACCTACTAATATCGAGTTTCATGCTGTAACAGAAATTTGCTAACGTTTTGTATTCCAGCTTTGCATAACGGGTTACTGTTTCTTACAGTACGAGTGGTATCCGTTACAGTATTCTTGATCATTAAAAAATTACCTCGTAACCTTGTTAATGTGTTTTCGTAATCCTGAATCATCAGTAAAAACTCTTCTATAATATAATATGTTTATTCTGAAGCGACATACTTTTTATGAAAATTTGATGATTATATGTTTCAGAATTTAAATATTTTGATTTTTTGTGCAGCATTAAGCGTCTGATAGAAATGTTAAATGTGTCTGTGAAAACATGGGTGGTTTAAACTTGTGCATTTAAAAATTACTGCGTATGTACAATTAGTAATTATAATTCAATCTCTTTTTTTATGGCAGAATTACCTGGCCGCAATGCATCCAGTTTTCAAGTATGAAGGCAAGATTTGATCAAGTGGCGGTTTGGGTGTATACATACACCACCAGCGTTCACCCTGCAGTGCCGCGGGGATGGTCTTCTCCGGTACCGGCGGCGGATGACCGTTAGGCACGGCATTAGTAATGTGCATATTCATCGCGTTAGGAACATCTTTAGGAACATCTTTATTATTGAGCACGGTGGTCTGCTGTGGCAGCATCTCGCCCACAGATGGACGCCGATTATTCACCGGTGGCCACTGCATCTTGCCGGTTTTGGCACGCAACGCGGAGGGCGTAACCAGTGTATCATGCTGCGGGGGCGACTGCGAGGCGTGCAGCGTATTGGCATCCTCGGCATTCGTCGGTGTGGGCGTGACATCCTGCTCTCCTTCCTCGTGTATGTTATTCAATCGGTGATTTTTAGCCGGGACAGCCGGTTCTTTTAATGTGGTGGATAAATTATGGGAAATATCGGTATTCTCCTTAGATAAGCTGGTACGGTCTTCACTGGCACTGGGTTGTTTTAGTGCCGAACGCCGGGCGATGGGATTGGTCGGCATCTGTGACGCCGAGTTGACTTTATGTAATCCGACGCCGTTTACCTGGCCGGAACTGTTTTCTTCCAATCCCGGCTGCCGAATTAATTTCGGTCGGTTCATATCCGGTAGGGTCTGCGAGCGTGGGAACGCGCCGCGCTGTTCGCCACCGGGCACACCCAGAACCGCCCGTAATTTCGGATCGAATTTCTGCAGTAATCCCAGCCGACGTAGATCATTATGTTTCTGCGGTGCCGCCAGATTCGTCCGGCCGTTCTTGGGCGCGGCATTCTCGCCCGGCTTCTTATCGGCCGCTTCCTCGGACGCGTCCAGATCATCATCGGTATCCTCGTCGCTGACCTCGAACGACGGTCGGTACTGCGACATGAGCGTTAACGGGGCCTTCGTCATTTGCGCCACATTACTGACGATGTCGTCTTCCGCCAGGGCGAACTGCGTGGTGTAGCTGGTGATGCGGTCGTCCACCGGGCGGCCCTCTTCCGTGTTGGAGAAATTAGCATCACTGCCGCCCTCCACACGCAGCAGCTCCCCGGCGGCGCGCGGCTTGCCGTTGCGGATTTCTCGGGTGCGTCGCCGGAGGCGGGGACTGCGTTTGGGCTCCTTCCGGCGGAACATTTCCGCCGGACTGTCCTTCTTCTCGTCATCCGGCACCGACTCCTCATCGTCCTTGGGCGCATCGACAATGACCTCCACTTGTTTCATCACATTTTCACGCATTACTTGATTATCTTTTCTTAGCAGCGATGGCTTCAATGGCTGATCAGTCGGAACAGGGACCCTGTAAATCACAGAATTAGGCTTTTAGAGTATGGTCTGGCACATACATACACACGGTTTGACAAGTTGCCTACGGTAAAAGGAGCCAACCGTAACGAAGCCAATGCCACACCTACGCGCACATCACGACACATCACCACACAGCACATTACATGATCACTGCCATATCACACACAAAGCCAAAAGCGCGCCAACGCCGTGATAATATTCGGAGATGGAGAGAATTGGGATCACCAGCGGGCCAGGAATAGCATCTATTTGGTTAAATATAGTTTATTTGTTTTTGCGCTGGTTAGCAGCGGGTGGTAGGCATTATAATGCAGCCGTTGCATGCGGTTAGTAGTCAGCCAGCAGGAGCAGCGCTGCAGTGCCGGCTTGATCGGCCTCCTGCTGCTGCACGCCAGAGCGGCCGGCTCAGCGACAGCCACACAACGAACGGCTTGAATGGGGACAAATTCATCGTCGTCATAGTCATACCCGAGTACACTTGTTCCAGTTGCCGTGGCCGCACTATTCTGATTCTCGGTGGAGACGTCAAAACTGGCCTTCTCCCAGTCCAGTGGGTCGTTTAATTTTATATTGCGTTTACGTAGGCAGATCTCGAAGACCGACTGGAGGTAGCGGTAATTGGGCGTATCCTCGTAATTCAATGAGGCAATGTGATCTAGAAATCCCTCGAATTCTTTCGGCAGGTTTTTGAGCAAGACTTTCGGATCAATGTCTTCCTTTCATGGCGCCCACTTGCTCCTTGTCTTTAATTTTCCGCCATGGCAGATGACCGGAAGCAAATTCGACTAGCATGTAGAATAATGACCAAAGGTCATCCTGTCGGCCCATTTCCTGTTGCAATGAAAACACATGATATGCTGATTTTTGTAACATGCTGCATAACTGCGGTACTTCAAAAGTTACACCAATATTTGCCGTTGTGTATTTCGCATGCGTCGTGTATTATTATAATTTCCTTAACCACGATATGATAAACAGTCTGACGTGTATTTGCACACCTTATTTTTGTGCGCGGCAATCGAGGCGTATCGCACAGTGCCACGGAAGCCGGCGGCTGAGCGCGGTGATCGGATTTCTCCACTTGGGCCCGTAAATTGCCGGGCGAGTCCGAAATCCAGCATATATACTGTGCGACAGTTATTTGGCATCAATCCCATCGCGAAATTCGACTAAAACGCAAATTACACAGGAGATTAATATTCTCATTTAGATACACTAACGAGCTTTGTTTTCGACTTTCGTGTTGTGAACGATCGGATTATGTTTCGCCCACGTGGTCAGCAAATTAACATGCTTACGCCGAAGTGCACTTTAATGTTAAAACCAGATGGCGGTTTACGCCGGCAATACTATTATTCAAAGGATTAATTTTATTTTTAAAAAGCCTGCTTCTGTTGGCACAACAGACAGGCGCGGCCATTTATGTATAATCGCATAGTCAGGAATAAGTGTTGATATTGACATCGGTTGTCATTTTCGTTACACAATATGTGCAACAGTGTATTATGTGTTGCGCTTAGCGTATATGTCACATGTGAAAGAAAAAGAGAATTTGATGTATTTGCACTCGCTTACCGGTTTAATGTCGCGATGCAAAAATCCAACCGAATGAATGTTTTCTATGGCTTTGAGAATTTGAATACCGATCCGCAGTGTGGTACTAATGGAGAATGTTCCCCGTGTCTGATTTCGTCGGAGTTCAGCCAAATTCTTCCCTTGCATAGACATTACGACATAGTTGAATTCTTTATTCCGTCCACAGCCAATGAACCGGCAGACATGTTCTTTTCCTGAAAAATATAAAATCTCATGTATATTAGACTGCATATGGGTATACTTCATCCACGTTGTTGTATCTGTATGCAAGTAAAAATTTGTTCTGACAAGCTAACACGCAGTTATCGAATTCAGGCCGGCAGGTCCCGACCTAAATGTTTCCATAAAAATTTTTTATGAGGAGAAACAGTTGCTAAACCCAACAGCTGACGGAAGCGGCATCAAACAACCACATTAGACGCGTCTGTCTTACACGCCATTCGGTGAAATGAACAATGCGATGTTGCATAATTTATATACTGTTACACTGCAATGCATGCAGTACCATGCACACATACAAAGTGGCGAAATAGTGAAACATTTCTTGGTATCAATGGCTTATGGTTTTATACGTACTTGACATTATGCCAGAACATATTTATGACTTCAGCTACCTTCAATAATATAAGTAAAAACTGCGCTGGAAAAAAGTTTATGGATTTCAAATCATTTTACTGGCTGACTGCGGCCAGAAATAACAAATTTACATAATTCTGATTTAGTTCTGGTTACGGATTCTTGTATAATATTTCACGTGTAGCAGCTGCGTGTAACACATCGGGTTATTATTTTTCAATTATTCATGACGTCAATGTTGATATGGCGGTGACTGATCCTGACATACTTCGTAATAGGACAATTCATATCGTGAACCCGATGCAACGATATTATTAACGGATACTGGCATCAGTTTTCGCTAACGATGCCGGTAAAATTTAGGGCGCCTCAAATTAAGACTTTTCATCAACTGCTCTTCAAAAGTCGCTTTCGAAGATTGTTTTTTACATTTTACAATGTCTCTTTGTTATTATCCAAAAACGCTTTCCTCTCAATAATACAATTATCACTGTTACGATAGCTTTTTTGTCTTTTCCTTTTTCAGTTAATTTAGCTTCACAATAGTTAGCTTACGCCTTTATCCAAATATGGTTTACCTTGTAGTTTTTTAAGGACCGCAACTTCCATTTTAAGAACTTGTTTGGCTTGTTGAACGGATTCAATTTTTATAGCCACCACTTCTTTACTAACGAGATCCATCGCACTGTAAATTTCACCAAATCCACCGCCTCCGATCTTTTCCACCTAAATTTGAGATAACATGTACAGACAGTGCATTAATAAGCCTGTCTGCCTGCTTATAATTTACAGAACTTCTATTCATCTATGTACACAAATTATTTATACATATTATGCATATTTGCATTTCCAGTAGCAAATCTGTCAACGCGTGCAGCTTATTAATACGTAGATATCGATTATTCGGAATTAAGTGATTGCGACACAAAAATCGTAAGCTAATCAAAAGCTATTTACGGCTCTTCTATGATCATGCTTTGGTACATCAGCAAAGCGCCAGACAAACACAGCATAAGTGGTTGTTACGAAAAAATAGGAGTAAGCGAATCCGTTAAGCGGCAGCACTTACCACCTTCCAGCGCTCTTTGATTACGTGACCCGGTTGCAAAATGTCTTCCGAGGAGTGGCTGCTCATGATTGGAAAATTTCCTTAGCTAATTAACGACAGTTCCCTGAAGAGGGTTCCTTTAATCAAGACCAGTTCTGCAAGAAGCACGAATATCCTGAGTAAGAAACCGTCATTGCTAAGCAACATTCAAGAGCCAGTATACGGTAATTTGTGATACTTAGTAATTAAATTTTAATAACTTTGTGAAAGTTTTCCGATCATTTTCAGATACGTACGCTACTCGCATACGAGTACAAACAAACATTGGATAAAATCACCACGCAGGCAGGTATTGAATCTGACTGCCTTTATTAAATTATTGGTGCTTGTTATGAAATGTACGGTAGCCGGTAATTTTTCTAGTCTAGCCGGTAGGTTTTCAAAAGTAATTACTTTTCTAAAAATCAGTCCTTACACTCAAATTAACAGAGATACACTCAAAATCGGTTCAGAAATATTAGTTGTTGATCTCAAACTTGCATAATTATTCGCCGAAAAAGTAGCTGGAAGAGTGTTTAGACCGTCTGAGAAGTTTTCGGCTGTCAACGCGGGACGCATTAACATTTGCTGCAATCCAGTACATGCAGATTGCACGATGATTAATCCTCTAAACGAATCATAATCTTTTTGAATCATGCGCGGGAGTTCAAGTTAGAAAAAAACAGCGGCTGGATTCGCGGGGATTAGTAGCATGTTTTGACTCAGTCTTCAATTTGGCACGGATGTTGACTAGAGTAGTTACAATAGCTAATTTGGCTTTAGCCTTCTCATACTGTATTGTACAACATTCGCTACAATTTGCCACACGCTGACTATATATAGCAGCTGAAAAGAATGCGACATTTTGTAGTATATTATAAAATGTTCATACTTTGTAAGTAACAGTGCCTACCGTACCTTCTTAAAAAAAACCTGTACATTACATATACAGAGTAGTGTTTCTTCATAATATTACTTACAAATGCAATATGTGCTTAGCAGACAGGCGATAACAATCACATAACTAAGTACATACTGGCCATCGTATTTTTTAAAAATGCAAGCGCAGCAAAATGTGAGCCTTATTTAGTCTACATCTTAATTTTGTAAAATCTGGTGATACAAAATCTATTGCCGGTATCTTTGCGTATCAGACTGACACAGTGCGTAATAAAATTACTTATATACTCGTACTAACCATATATTATGTTGTTTTTCATTGGAAAAAGTTATCGGCCCTTCGATTTCAATGAAGCATTCAACATTGCAATGGAGAAAGAATCCACTGCCCAATAATTAGAATGATATTAAAAATATTTTACAACATAAAAATGTTTGTTCTGTAAACATCATTTTCCATCTTCTTACTGATTAGCAATTACTAGAAGTGTTGACCATAGTCCGGCCCATCGTCCCGAGAAATGATGTTCCTGTATGGTTTCCAGATGCATGATACGCAAGCTATATTATTTACATAGTACTACCATCAAGCCCTTACGCATATTATCTGTAAGTATTTTTATGCTAATAAAAAGTTTATAGAAATTAAAATAACTGCTAGTATACTGTAATCATTCTGTACAGCACTGAAGCATGCATGCTTTTTTTCAGCTTATGAGACTGATCCACATAATTAACGTTTGCCAAACGCACTTACAAAGAGAAAACGCTAGCGTAGTCCACATTTAAACAAGGAGATTCAGCAGAAGATAAGCCAGCAATATTAGGGATAAAATTACAAAAAAGCAAATAATGCAGATGACAGCCCAAGGCACCAGATACATATAACTCCAAAGGTTTAAGGCAACTTTTAACTTCAGCAAAATACAGCACAGCGCAGACGCTGGTTCAGCGGATGGGATTCTGTTGGGATCTGTACTTCGCACGTCAGGTTATTCCGCGTATTTCACGCTAGACACATTGGCGACGCCGATGCAAGTTCTGATTTAAAAAGCTGGCAGTCCGAAATGATCTGACTAAGCGCCTTACGACTACCGAAAGTAAGTATCTTCCAAAATGCCGAATGTTACGTATGAAGAGAAGTATAGCGGCGAAAGCAGTACTTATTTCTTTCGCATCCAACCTTCATATACCACTGATTCAGCTCATATCCGCCGACTAATCCCTTACGTGTTGCCGCATTGGTGCATAACGCAAAGTACTGTACGAAGATTTTTAAAAAGAAGCCAGTAAAAATAAAAATAACTTTGGAAAGCCGATCAGCAGCGGAAGAATCATGCCGCTCCGTGGGATTAAATTAACGAGACTTACATATGCAACGTCTAACAGGCGAATATGTAATAACGGTTATGAGGCAACGGTAACTGGACATGCCAGTTAAACGATACGAAAGATACGCAAACGCATTTACTGATACACAATACGTATTCATTTTCTTTTCTTACTTAATAAAGTAAATAGTTAATGTCAGCCATGTAATCGCGTGGGATATCGCTATTTGCGTCGCTTATTTCCTTACGCAGTTAAGGTTGTATTTCCTGCAGTGAAAATCTCGGCTGACAGAATGTCCAGTTGCAAGGCAGATACAGTTTCCACATTTCTCTCAGGTCAAAATTTTCCTGCCCAAAATATTATTACCAGTAACTATTGCTTTTACTGCAACCATAAAAGTGTAGTTCTAATTATTTGAAATGTACCTTAATTCAGCTAATGTCAAGTTATGCTCACAAACAGTCCATTTGGAAATTGCACACTGCGCGCTGCGGTTGCGCTGACCGTTTTATTACTGATATGCAAGATACACGATTGCTTGTAACTTGTAATTAATTTATTACTAACCGAGAAAGTAATTTGTTGCCGGCATTGTATAACATTTTCAGTTTCAACTCAGTAGCAGCATTATTCAACAATCTTTCATCAGTGTGCGCAGTCTTCGCAAAAAAATCAGATTTCGTTCGTTCGCTCAATAAAATCCTTAATAACTCTATGGCCAGCGGCCATATGGTCACAGTCAGCGCAGCTGCATTTATGGAAACGACAACATTGCCTTTAGCCGTTCAATAAAGTGTCCGCTGTTTTTAATTTAATCCACTTACCAAAAACGGCTTTTCCCTTTCAGTTACCGCACTGTACAAACAAGGTTATCCAAGCAGCGAGAGGCGATTTTGCATCACGCAGCATATTCCGAGCTTGCGATATACACATCCACAATTATCCAAACATTGAAGAAAAAACTAGGTCGATCAGATACACTGATGACGGATGTTTTACAGATTTTCTTTTCGAATGTTCTTCAGCAGACTACGTTAATTTATGAGAGCAAAGTACGTTAACATACTAAAATGTTAGCCTGGGGTTAATTTTTGTCACCAAAATGCAAAACATGCTCATTACCAAGTCGATGTACTGTAGCATTTTGTTGTCGACTGCAATAACAATTGATGCGCTTTACGATTTCGAGGCAGCACTACATCATTTGTTTGTACGCCGGTTAATCATTAACAATTCAGCGATTTTCTATTAGAAGAGGCAATTAATAATTAGTTCTATGTACAGTTACACGTGTTTAGGGTATACAGATAAGTACTGTCTGGTCAGGCATCGAGGCATTCTGCAAATTCTGATACAGTAATACTAGTATTAAACAGTTTCACGTTTGTGTATTGCAGGAAGAGCAGTACGAGTATTAATACTCCACCGTATTAAAATATTCTTATTTAACACTGCTTGAATTATCTGGTTTGTTATAAATGCCGGAAACTAAAAGATTTAGTTCTGAACTGCAGTTTCGTGTACCAAACTTGTTAATGCGGCTGCCTTGTGGCCAAGAGAAGATTACTAATAAATATGCAGAATGTCATCTGAACAAACAAAATTATCTTATTTTTCTTGTGGTATTCGAACTAATTCAGAACTGACTGCATTGTTGCTACATTACTCAGGTATTTGATAGTAGCATATCGTTCTTTTGACCGTTCGGACGAGATCACGAACACGCCAGATAAATGCATGACATAAAGTGTTACCGTTTTGCTCACGTATCTCTTAAGATTTTTGGCAACAATGATATTAATTAATAAAATTTGTAGAACTCTATATCCGTTTTCCGTAAACTAAATTAACTGGCTATTATTAAACAATTATCGTGAAGAGCTTGAAGGACTACTAGTGGCGTCTGCACAACATACTTTTACAATTTATTTAAACCACTGACCTTTATGTGTAACAGTTGCCGGAACTGATATCACAAACTTCTGAATGAACGGTCCTGATATCAGCGAGAATATTGTACGGTATACTAACTATTCAACAGGAAATTTAGTACTGCGCTAGTCAAGGTACGTAGTTAAGTAGATACGGCACGTGTTTTCCCAGCAGGCGGTAATCTTAGCAGTTAGTGACTACTCAAAATTGAGTTTCCGTTCATTTACTTTTTACCCGAAGAAATCTGGATCTGCAGGCAATCAAGATATCAGTGGATTTCTGAATGCACCATTGATGTTACTGTCAATTGCATAAATACTTTGCATATTTAATGGTAATGTTCTTGGTGTATTTGTTGCAAGTGCGCCGCATACAAATAAATCTACGTAGTAGATTCAATCTAAATAAAATTATATATTAGGCGCCTGAAATTCTGAATACCATTGTTTAGATTTGATGACAAATCACCGTTTCAGATACTTACTGATCTGATGCCGGGCCTATATGGGCACTTAGTTGTTTAACCAGACGGTAAATTTTACTTATCACGTCTCTTCACAGGCATGAGTGTTTTTTTATCTTAACATGTTTGATCCGTTACACTTTCCACTTATCAAAAAGTATCAATACCGCGAACCTTGACAAGCCAATCGATGGTCACTCGCTATGGGCTGGTTGGTATCATGACAAAGAAACAAACTGACATAACATTATCTTGTCAATTACCATTGTAAAACTTGCAGTTGTGAGTACGGTACGTAAAGTCCGTTTTGCTTGGTTTGACAGCTGACCATCATAGTCATAGTTGAATGGGTATTTGCGTCTAATGCTTAAAGCCGGCATGCACATCATAACAATCAGAAGGAGTTGTTAAAAATTACACGAAGTCTACTTGAGGGTTTTAAATGTAAATAATTCCGCAAGAATCAGGTAAATCAATACTAAGTATGTTCAATATACCATTTTAATTAAACCAGTCATTCAGCAGATATTTTGAGTAATTAAATTCTGATAAAAATTGAATCGAAACTTACGAGAAGCAAAAAATTACGCAATTTTGTAACATCGGCACTGATATATCTGCTATGTGGTTGCATTTTCAGAATGATATTATGATTCAAATTACCGAACTATCCGTACATCGCTTAGCTGATGTGTACAGCTAACAAATAATGCAAATGACATAAATTCTGCAATCACTTCTCTACGAATCAAATTTCATAATCCACGTTTGCACTGTTCAACTGAAGCAAATAACGATATACCGAAGCCAGTTCATACATACATCTGTAATAAATGTTTTACATAATTCTTTACGAAGAATTTATAACTGTATCGCTATGTATACGTATACATATATGGTTAGCAAATAAAAGAAAGGAAATGTGATACTGCCACTGCGGCAATTCCTACCCACAACTTTTACAATTCAAAGACAGGAAGTTCCAAAAATCATCTATGACAGTTTGTCTTAATAAGTCGGAGCAATAAGCTATCTGCAGGTCAATATTGACAGTGCGTCGAACTCAATGTTAAGGTTGATTACACGATGTAAACCATCTTCGGCCATGTATGCACGCAAACATATGCAGTAGTATGCCGATATGGAAATTGACAAAAATTTTACTGTACCTTTCTGCGGCTTAATTAGATATTACAATGAATACAGAACGCTTTTTGACTAAAGAATTTCAAAACTGGTATTTTTAAACCTGTATCACTAACACAAAAAGAATACAAAATTATTTCGCGGTGTTTGCTGGAAAAAATAAGATCTGATCACCGAGTTACACTGACGTAGAAGGCTAGCACCGTATAATTGTTTTAATATTTATTATATCCATAAGAATTGCTAACAAGATCATTTTGCATGTTAAGGTTAGCCCAGTAGTGGGATTTGAACACTCGTTAATCAGCCTTGGAAGTGGAACGTGTACATATGGTGTCATTACGCAGCACAAATGTGTGTCGACCACTTTCTATGCAGCGGTCCAGTTTGGCGGTATACACTGTGGATTGAAAATGCTCAAACTGGCTTGACTAGTTATATATATTGAGGGGAACATCAATTAACACCATTCAAAATCTTTGAAACTTGCACACTGCTGTGCCTGCACAACATCCGATAGCTGGCTTACCAGACAAACAGTCTCCTGCGACCCAGTGTGCCGCGGCAAAGAGTGCCAAGAATCCACCGGAACATCACACGAGTCAAGAGATCATATACATTAACACTCATTGGAATTTTTTTGGACTGATGAGCATATACAGTGCAGTGGTGGACGAAAAACATATGGGTACGGCCGATCCGGCGAATCATATAGGCGCGTGCATCGCCGGTGTTTATTGGTTATACCGCATCACAAGATTCGAAAGCATTAAAATCCTAAGAAACTGTAAATTTCCCACTGTGCACTGTAGAGCACTTGTGTGCGTTGGATCACCGCGGGTAGTCCAGCGCGCGGCAGATGAACCAGGGCGCTCAAGGAATATATACATTCACAGTGGCCGCATAATATGTGGAGCATGCCGCCGCGTGTGCCGCTGTGGATCACGTCGATCTCCTGCGCGCGGCACACGCTCTCGTAGCCAGTACTTATCCGGGTTTCGCGGTTTCCTTGTGGGATCAGGATTGTATGAAGCGGTGCAGATAACTGGGACTACATTGAAAAACTAACTAACTACGCTGTCGTGCACGGCGAGCTTTAATCAATAGCTAAGCGGCGTGTTGGGACGTGCAGTTGATGGTGCGAATATTTGCCGGCCGAGTAGGTTGGATAGTTGAGACTTGAGAGACGGTACAGGTGCCAATAATAATCAAGCCGCGACGTTGACCAAATGCTTGATCGTAAGAGACACTCTATAAGTCTATCAGCTGGCGAAAGGAAAACCGGTGGGAACGCTTGCACATTTGCAATGCGCTGCGCCGGCTGTTGTTGGCAACAACGGAAAGTGTGTTAGAGTACTTGCAACGCCGAAGAGATCGATATAAAAGATTTTTCCCTAATTGATTTTTACGAGCGTTAACGTTGCAACGGCTCTCAACAGACACACGCACACCGCGGCATTACGCCAATGCTAACGACATCTTAGTAAAATAGTGGATTTTGCAAAGAAATTTCCGTGCTTGAATACCCGACAATCGCGTGTGTGCACAACACCCGCAACAGACAACGACCAACCGGTATGAACATGCCGCTACATATTGTGTTGTCTGTACAGCTGGTGGCCAGTGTACAAGTACATGTGGGTCTTATTTGTCCGCTGAGATTGATTCCGCAGCTGCTAATGTTGTCTTTTGCATAATGCACCTTGGCTGCACACATTTGCATACAGTCGCAAATATCTGATTGCCGGACAGTACGGTCGATTGTTGTGAGTTCTGCAACACGGTTTTGCAGAAAGAACAAACAAATCGCATTCTGTCATCCGTACAGCTCAAGTTGCTTACCATATACAGTATGTCGGGTGAAAAATCACGACTCCAGCAGAAGAAACCAAAAATTAATTACCGACAGTTTGTTGACATTCGGACCTGGACAGCGCTGATACTTCACGTTGATATAATTATACTATTTTGTATCTGCAGGTTCGACATATCACTATAAGTCACAATCTGCAGGCATAGTTGTACAAAGGGAAAATTAATATTGTAAGATTAAGCTTAAGCTGTTCTTTTGAGTGAAGACGAGAGCAAAAAACATTACTGCATGCATTAAGCCTAACTGCACCTTTACCCGAGGACGCAGTTGGTTTACTTACTGCATTTACAACTAAAATTTAATATAATATTATTATTATATAGATATTAGGATATTGCGTTAATTAAGTTTATGCGTGTCCAGTGACCACAGGACTCTGACGTAGTGATGTAGCAGTGATCATGAATCGCGTTACGGAACTTGTTTATCGTTAAAGTACTGAACGTAAAATGCCAGTTTTTATAGTGAGCTAAATTCTGTTGTAAGAAGCAGTACTTACTTGTCAGATTGTAAGTAGTATTACTGAGGTTCGAAAATTTAATAATGTACTAAGTTGAGTTGACTCGACTGAAAATATTAGTGCGGTAGCATGGTTACCGTTAACGTTTTCTCCTAATCGCAGTTTTTTCGCTTTGATGGTCTTCTAGTTGAGCATAATGTTATTAGTTTGCCAGCGTGACATTACGTACTGACTATGTTGCCTTTCGGTTTTCGATATTTTAAAGTTTTAGTGTTGTCGATCGAAGCCATAAGTATATTGTAGTGCAAGCTGTAACAGTGTGCTAGACGGTAAACATATAATCTGCAACGATGTCGATCTCGAATGACGATTCGGATGAAGGGAAGTCTCCCGTTATACTGTATCGAAGACCTTCAAAGAAAAGCGAAGATGCAGCGCGCAAATCTATACAGCGCGAAACACGACCAGCAGTAGTCGGATTGTCCCGCCGTTCACGGTCCCTAAACAAAAGGTCAACCGTAAAACACAATGTTGAAGGAAACCTACCACCGTCTGCCGTCAGCGCCCAGCCTGCCGAGGTCGTGCAGCAACCCCGTGATGTGGATATTACCACTGTGGGAGCAGTGGCAATCCAATTTGATAATAATAGGCCATTAGATGCTCTCAGCATACAGCCGACTGCACAGCTAGTACAGCCGCCTATTACGGACATTAATAGGATTTTAAACGATACAGCCGTATTTCCGGTACGGGATCCGATGCTGATCGAGATCCATGCGCCACCGCCCTATCCTGTGGACTTAATTGATCCCCATCAGCGGCATGTCTCAATTACGGCCGCCGATCATCAGCTGGACCGAATAAAGCTGCTGCAGACGGCCGGCACATCCGTTCGGCAGTCGGCCGGCCTAAAGGAAATTAATTTGCACAAGTTCTTTGTACGCCGACCCAGTGTCCTAACGGAAGCTGCAATGCGACTGACAATCAAAAGAAACTCACAGGATCGGGATCGAGCAAGCACACTGGCTGATAGTGCTGCACTGGCAAATGATCTACCAACAGATGCGGCTGAGGCCGAGATATTGGTGTCGGAGCGAAAGGCGCTTCTGGCGGAACTGGAAACGGATGACTCAAGAAGATTCAAAGATGTCTTAGCGGATATCTTGAAACCAACGTATAAAAAATGGAGTAAATTATGTCAAGAAGAATTCCCTGATGGGATTATGTGGAAACCAGATGGAAACTTGGCCGCTTTGGTTATTGCTTATTTTGAGGCTTGCTCGTTAAAGGGAGCAAAATTAAATTTGAAGGTAAGTATCACCAAGTCATCCTTATGACAGCCTTTACAACAGCTTTGTAAAATAGAAAAAAAAGGTACTTCCTTAAAAAAACCAAGGTAATCATCTGCTACTCTTTCGAAAATTTTAAGTAATGCAAAGCAACAAATAATTTACTATAAATAAAGTGATTACACAGCGTTCTACAATGGTCGCCAACAATACAAAAAGGTCTACGTGTGATCACTTCACTTAAAAATTTAAAAACGGCGCAATAACCTGAACATACGTATTAACATGATTATTAAATGCTTTAAGCTTTAATACGCACTGACAGTAAAAATGCTTTTTTATTCAGTGGATTTATTACTATCCGGTAAAGTATAGCTCTGAACCTTAGTTCGTACATCTGTGCATACTACTAGAATTACCAAATCTACGAGTATGTTCTTCAGAGCTTTTTTATGCGAAATCTCCCACCGGTATTATGGTTGCGGCGAAGTCTGCTGTCGCTGAACATCAGTTTCAACAGTTTCGAGGTAAGAAATAAGCACCAAGTGCTCGGACTCAAGCTCGGTCTTACAGTAATTTTAAGTCTTCCTGTAGTACAATTCTTCCTTCTTTGTAGTCTTTCTGCAGTCTAGTAGCTTGAAAGTTGAAAGTAACCCTTTTGTGATTTGATGCTACTGCCTACTGGTATGCATATCTGCTACAATTTGGTAAACATTTTTTATCCTAGGTGTAGGAGATGCCCGAATCGCTTTTTCATTTAAAAAAATTAGTCGTCCTGAAAGCTCGCAACAATCCCATTAAGACAATCGGAAACGGAATCCAGAAACTGGAGAATCTTCGCTATTTGAGCCTTAGTTTTTGCATGTTCGAAACTTTCCCAGAAAGGTAATCCACAAGTTAGAACCCTTGCAGTGAATTGGATAACTTGGCGGCACGCAAAAAATTCTAAACGTAGCATCACGCGAATACGACACGCGGCACGATACGCGGGCGGCGTGCACTCGGTACTGGTAGCTGAAAAAAGTACTATAGTAATCCAGTACTGTAAAGCACCGACTAGCGTAGTGCAGTGACTCGTGCTCAGTACTTAGCTGATATTCGCGGCATGGAATCGCAATCAAGTTATAATTTTCTAGTTCTAGCGGTTTACACGCGTGTTTTTTATTACTGGGCATGTATGTATTCTTCAGCATTTTTGGATTGACCTCATTGGAGATTTTAGACATTTCCTACAATCTGCTCAATAACATTCCGCGAGACATAATCAAATTGAGGTAATACCGGTATAGCATAGGACCTGTAGTAGCATAGTTATGTTGCAGCCAACGTTAGATTGGATTCGAAATCCGTTTAGCTTTGGAGACTCTGACAATAATTCCTTTCGTCGGAGGGCACCGCGTCGTGCTTAGAATTATATTACAGTTGCGGAGTTTTTTTTTGTTTGTTTTGACTTTTCAGGTCCCTTCGAGTACTGAATGTATCCGGTAACATTATGAGCGAACTACCGGCATGTTTGGTGCGCCTTCCCAAACTAGTTAATATAATCGCAGCGGACAGCTACGTCACTCTGACATGGGGCCGGAAATCGCCCACTACTAGCCGCCAACTGTGCTCCCTGCAGGAATTATCCGCAGATGCCGTAGCGGCTTTCCTGACCAATAACGGACTCGAACCGCGGCAGCTGTCATCGGGGGCGCTTCCGCAGCAGGTACAAAAGATTCTTCATACCGCACATACGTGTGAATGGTGCAGTGGGTGCCGATTCGGACACGGGCACGAACTGGTCAAGGCGGAAAATTTACGGCGGTTGCGGTTTGCCTCGTTGGTCATCAAGTATCAGGTGTGCGAGCGGTGTTGCAGTAATCCCTACCGGGTGTTCAGTGCAAAGGATCTGGAACGCTATATAAATGCCGGATTGAAGGAACTGGAGAAAATGGAAAGAAATGAAAAAGATAAAAGAGAACGCGAGAACACCGTTAAAAGAATCAAAAAATCTTTGAAAAGCAAAAGAAATACCAGTCAGTCTGTGTAGTTGTTGTGAAATCAAATACTCTTTCCTTGTTGGTTATCAACGATATGAATACTAGTACCAGTTTTTTTCTACGTTAGAATGTGACAAAAGAGTACTTACTATACTTGTTGTATACTGAATATAGCTAGGAAAAACATCTTCATGGTAACTTTTAATTCATGGCATTTTTAATTCTCAATGGGTCAATCCAACACAGTTTACAACGATAATATTATATTAATGGTCAATATGACAATGATAGAGATACATTTCATTGTGCTGTACGTCAGATCATGCTATAGCACATAAACCGGTGTTTCCTCAACTTTCCTGTCCACAAGGCATTTTGCTGTAACGATGCAGGTTTTAATTTATATTTCGAAAATACATTTTCTAAATATCTTTTCAGTTGATAACAGTTTATTTAACTATGAGTAAAATGTAGAGATGCATAATTTTTAATTAGAGGAAGGTTGCCTTTCATGGGAACTGGGAAGTAGTTCCACCTTTTAAGCCTTGCAAATCGCTCCGCACCGTATGAATTCATCGGTACCGTACGGATTCATTTCCAAAACCGTGGTATTTGTTGCTGGGGCGAAGCGGTCATTTTGGAATTTTTACTATAAAGCGCGAATGGCTATGTACGCTGTAGATCTGGTTTGAAAACACGAGGTCGTCATGCTGACCGGTACTCCAAGCGAATTCATTACAACCACATAGTTCGTACTTTGCAGCTGTTCATGGTCATATTACGTCTGACACCGTTCGGACTAGCATTCTGCCCTTTGTGTGCTCATACAAACCAACTTTGCATGCGTCCACAGAAGCCCGTGTAAATTTTTGATTTGCTGCCGACGGCTGATGGGTTTTTTGCGGGAAAGATGATCAAACAATCTCAAGGAGAAACATGACAAAAACTACAGCGGAAGTCTTGACATACACGCGACGATTGCAGCATTTTTTATCGATGTAATCGGTACCCTGAAGGTTTCTGTCTGTCGAGACGCGCGGACAAGCTTTATGCAAAAAAACAACAGATGTAATGCAATAAAGATGGACCAACGCGCGTCGCTGTGAGGATGGCTTGTTTGTCCTCGCGGGTGCCACCTGATCCCCGGTAATACAATGTTTATGCTGTCGGCTCGTGTACTAGATGGACAACTGCCTCTGCAGGTCAAGCCACCACTGGAAAAAGTCATATTACTTGGCTAAAGTGGCGATTTTGTCATTTATTAGGGTGAAATTGTCAATTTCGGGTTTTGAGCTGTGCCGGTGCATGTGCATCTGTCATTAATTTCGGTCGTTACCCGTTCACAGTGCACACATTATTTTTTGCACACTGCAATTTTTCCTGATAGAAAGTTTTGATTGCAAATGCCGTAAATATAATGTCATTACTATGCATGGTGTTTGCCGTTTGTCCCAGTCATTGTTTAGGATTAATGTTTTGCGGACATATTCATACTTCTTTATTATAACATGGCTGAGATGTTGCATGAGAGCAGCAGCCGATCCGTGTTCGGCGGGACTAACATTTTCTTTAATGGCTTGCTTGGGAAGAATGGAAACGGACACTCAGGACATGTAAGCTAACAACTTTATCGAGTAAAGCAAAAGCAAAGATTAAGCATGGTAGGTTAGGTGATCAAGTGTCTGATTACGTATGTCTACCATTTTTGAGTTTAAACACATTTATCAATTTTAAAATTCTTTACGAACTCGAATTCTGATTTTTAAACACAAAAATATTTGGTTGGATATGCATTGAGTGTAACATTACACCATTATTATTTCATTCTAGCAGACGAATATTGCTGCATATGCGTAACTGAAGTGTGTCCCAAGGCCAAGCAAAAAGTTGAACAGAACGCTAATGTACAAGTAATAATACGGAGAAACAGCCAAATGTTCTTAGAAGTGTAGCAACAGGATGATTTAACTTCAAAGTGGCTAAGTGCAGCCTTTTGAGCTGCCGAAATTCATGTTTTTTTTAAATCAAGAAATTCTCTAGTTTTGTTGCATATACGAAGTATAGATATTATGATAATCATTTATTATAACAGTGCCTAAACAATAATGTTTTAGCTTTGCAAGAACTTAAGAAGTTCCGCGGGTGTTTGCTAGCAGTCGTAGTAATATTTCCTTGTATGTACAGATATTACAATTTCAACTTCCAAGTGTCCTTAGACTCCATACATATTAATTTTCCAGTGACATAGCGCATACTGTTTAGGGAGATCTCTATGCAAGAATTAATTTATAAATGGAGCGTAATAATTAGTATGAACAATGACCGAGCTTTACTGACAACTTCCGAATGCTTGCACGAGTACATCTGTTACAGAGATTTAAGGAGTCGAGGTATAACTTTCATTCCGGATGGGGCTTTCCAGAAGTTCACCAACCTGAATTTGCTGTAAGTGTTGCACTACGCACAAAAGGCTAATTCTAAAAGGCTAATTTTGTAAAATGTTGTACCTTCTCGTACAGATAGAAAACGTATATCTATAAAATTAATTTCTGTTTCCTGTTCAGGGACCTCAGCTTTAATCACCTTCGTAGTGTATCATCTGAAGCATTCGATCTCGCCGAGCTTCGTTCACTGTACGTGCATTTTGCAAACAAAATTACTGCTAATTTTCGAAGTGTAGCGGATCCTGGTACTTCATTACGTATTTTAACAATATCTGCATTGCTATTTGATTTAATTTTTTAATTATGGTATTTCTGCTATGTTATTAGGCTTATTATTTTGTGACTTTCTTGCAGAAAGCTGAATAATAATCAAATTGAAACACTAAGTGGACCAATTGCCGCATGGCATGCATTTTTTACCAGCAAGCCGGATGCTGTGTAAGTCAAGGTTGTCAAATCATTGCATTATGTTAACGCATAATATGCAAATAACCTGAATTAGAATAATGACTACAGCTCACTCGGCAATAACCGTTTTATGTGCAACTGCTCCATTACCTGGTTAGTGGAATTCTTGGCTACGGATGAATTCATTCAAGATGCGGCCGGCGTACGCTGTACGGAGCCGTCCGAATGGCAGAACCTGCCGCTGCGCAGTATGCCAGAAACCGTGGATGCGGCCTGTAAAGGTGCTGCATTGGGCACTTCACTGGGCGCACGCTACTGTAGCAATCCGGCCATGTTTCCCTGCTCAACGCCGTCCGCGGGGTCAGCGGCATACTGTATCGATCAGACACTCTTGTGCGACGGAACTGCACATTGTGTGCTGACTGGGAACGACGAGAATCCGTTCATCTGTAATGGCTATCGCCGCGGCCGACCGAAAATTCCCTCCAACGATGTGGTGCCCTTTGTAAAGGATTCTTTCGGCTATTTCGACGGATTGCTGGAACGGACGCGCCTAATGGGTTTCGGTACAGCGACAACGGCAGCAAAAGTTGTACCGGAAATGTCCGGTTGTCGTAAAGGGATGTTCAAGTGCTTCTCTGGTGCGCTGTGTATTTCGTCAGCCAAGACGTGCGACGGAACGACAGATTGTCCGGATGGTGCGGATGAAGAGGTATCGCTTTGTTCTAAAACTCCACCGACGCAGCGAGTAACTCTACCGCCAGTTATTACGTCTGCAACAAAAAGCATACCGCTCAGTGTGAATAATCAGACAGCGATGACCTTTAATAAACTGAAGGACCATCACGAAAATCAGACCATCGTCACTGTCAGTCTTCTGACAAAGACACCGCTAAGTCAGGCGACCATGAAACCAACGTCCATCAACACATCCACGGTAACCCCGATGACGACGACCTCCATCGAAGACGGCTTAATGGTGAGTTTCGATAATCAAAGGGTACCTTCGGCACATCTGCCGACAGAGTCCATAGCGTCACTGCCGGTGTTGGCTACCGATGTGTTGGCGCCCCATCCCACCATAACATTCCCTCAAGTGGACGGGATTCCGCATGTCAACCACTTTCACAATAACTTGGCTCACGATGCACTGGGCTATCAACAAGGCGAATTTTTGCCAACTCTGACGGAAACGGATAGCACCGCGAAAATTATACCGACATTGTCTGTAGAGGGATTTAATGCTAGTACTACCGGAAGCGCAACGGACATGGTTCGTCTCCCCGCAGAAAGTATGTCTTGTATTGTACAATATTTCTGATGAAAAAATTTTTGAATTATCGGTTTTGTACAACTCTCATCGGTGGCCCTATAATTACGTATTGCACTACATGGTCTCCAGACGAGTGTTAAGATTGAGTGACCACATCAATAATTGTACATAACTAGGCAGATGTGGTTGAGACTTACCGTTAGTTTCCATTATTAGAACTGCATTTTATAGTCCGAGTGTTTTAATTATGCGTTTAATAGATCTTCTCCAGCCCGTACGTATCCAAATAAAAAGCAGTGCGAATCACGACCTGGCTATCGGGTGGGATCCACCTGAAGCTCCACAAGGCATTGGATGGCACCTGGTGGCTTATAGCGTAGAGTGCGAAATCAACCGTAACGGATCTGGGAAGAAGAAGAAAAAGTCGCCGCTTTTGTCCACCCTGGTACGAGAATATACATTTCATCACATCCTGCCAGAAGATTCACTCAAACTGACCGTCAAAGGTAATCCATGTTTTAGTCATGTTATTTCGTAAATGTTCAGATGTACCTGTTAATATGCCGTTGTGCATCCAGTGGCTGCTACCGACATGGCAGTATTTGCATAATCTTTTCTGTAATTAACAATATTTCTGCATAGAAACAAATTTCAGAGTTAACCATATTAACAGGGGAGAATCTGTTTCGCAAGTCAAACTTAACTATTCGATCGCATTTTGATAGCTCTATACCAAGATGCGGACAATCAACGCTACGAATATGCAAGCGAAATTTTTCTTCGAGAGGGAGTATCGGCGGACAATATGCCAGCCTTGTATCAAGCTCCAGAGAAGGAGCTCATTTTACCATCTGCCAAACAAGTAAATTATCCAGGAAGATGGGCTTTGAAGATGTGTTAGGAATTGCAGTCGGTGGAACACTGGCGGGGCTTGATGGTGTTGCTGATTGGAATTTATCTGTTTAGAAAGAAAAATATCTTCTCAGACGTGCCGGCCATAGCACTAACGCTAGACCTTTACGGATGCGCAAAATAGATAGGTACAGTGCAAGTGGGTTAAGAAAAAGCCGAACACTACGAAGCTGCAAAACGTTTGATTACTTTGGATCTTTTTGGCTTTTTTGTAGCAGGCACCACGCAAAGGTCAACGACAGAACTCTTTCCACTGAACCGATCTACTCAGAGCCAGAGTACGCTCTACAGACAGCACTGGAAAGCGGTGTTCCCATTAGTGCCAAGAGATTGCAGGCGTTACGCTCACCACTTCATTTGGCAGGTACAAATATTTGATACATATATTTCCAGAAATTTACTGGTGCATGTACGAATTCAAAATCATAATATTGTGTGAATATTATATTTAACTTTATGATAAAGACATTGAGACAATATTATAGTGTTAATATCACCAATTAAACTACGCAAAATTTTTTATTGTTTTGTCTGTTTTTTATATCCTTATGATTCATTGATTAGTTTTTTGTTGGGCCAAAAATGTTAAATTGCAAGTGATTACTTTAAAATTAATACTGATGGCGAAATATTTTCACTTTTGACTTTTGGTTTAGGACAAACCGCGAATCCAGAAGACGGTTACGTGCAGGTGTTGGAGTCAGATTCATCTTACTACAACCCCATTCGATCACAGAACATGCTCGGAGTATAGCTGTTACTCGGTTTCCGCCGGTATCAATCCGGTGCTAGCCAGCAACAGTCGATTGGTTCCGGCTTCCTTACCGTCTTCCCTGTCTGATTCATCGTACGGATCTTTTGCTATCTACGACAGTGACAACTGCAGTCTGGGCTATTATTACCACAACTCCGGCTTGACACCGGCTGCACCGACAACGGCCAACATCGCAGTATCGTCTTCACGTGGTCACAATCTAAAGCACTTTGGCGATACCTTGACACCGTGCCACAACGTTCCAGTTAGTCACACCTTGGCATTACCTATTGCAACATCCACTACCGGAAATAACCATGTCGTACAGATATCGACCACCGACGGAAGACATAATTTGGCAAAATCTTGAAACTTTTGCACTTTTCATATAGAATTTGATTTACATTTACATAATATGCCCAATATCTGTACAATGTCTATTCGGGGAAACTAGTCTCTTTAAGTAAATAATATATATGCTCGATAACCTTAACACTGTTTTTTAGTTAATTATACAGGATTTTCTAATTGCATCGTAATTGGATGAGCTGGTGTTAGCGCAGTTGTCATTCTTTTTATTGATAAATATCAAAATGAAGTTTTTATCACATCGAGTTCCGGTGCTGCTGCAGTTTTAATAGTAAAGTGTACCTGTTACGCAAACAAAAATTATGGATTAATGTTTCTCACATATCGGTTGTTTACGCTGCTTTTCGCAGTTACTGTATGTAATTTGGAGTATTACACGCTACACCTGACTGCAGTCTGCCGGTATACTAATCCGCTCTGGCACTGCTTGTTTAGCGTACATAAAGCATTTACGTACAAACAGACTTATGGCATTGTTGTATGAAGTTGCCCTTGATTGATAATAAAGCGTAATACTACATCGGCACGAAAACGGATCCCACGCATGAACCAAATACGACAAATTATAAATCAGACATTTACAATGCATGTAAGATTAATACGTGAAAACGATGTAATGCAGGTAGTACGGAAATGCACTGGATCAAGGTTTGATTATTGAAGCGGCTGGGCATTGTAAAATGCGGCTACAAATGTGATCAGCATTCACGAGTGCACTTTGTTGAGCGGCATAGTTTTATCGCAGCTGACGTGAGTCGCAAGCTACCGATTTTTATTAGTATTAGCGGAAGAATTCTCATTTTGTGATTGGATATATGATAGAAATCAGCACAAATTATATTTACTTTAACAGTGGATCCCTTCAATGTTTACATCATTTCGCTGCCACACTGCGCTGGGAATCAAATTCAGGTCGTCTGACAGACGACACTATTAGAGTCTGTATTGCAACATCCGATGTGATTCCAAAATGTGTCGCTCTTCAGTTTCTCGCGTTTACATATGCATGAGCCACTATATATTGACACTTGATGATCAGCAGTGATTAAACAGCAACCTGCACTGTCTGGATATGTACCGGGAATCAGTGGTGACCAAATTATCCTACCTTGATTTACATAATTATTATACTAGGAGTTTCGGCATCTGCAACCTTTATCCCGTCGCAATCACGCGTGCAGTTTGTCAGGAGGAAAAATGTTATAATAGTGCATGCTGAAACACCCCAACGACTTGGAAATGTTCGCCGAAATGAAAGTTTTGCTCGGCGCTTCAAGATGGACTTTTCCTGCAATTTTTACGCTGCTTCCTTTAAAGCGGACACTGTTCTTTATTGTGTGTCTTTGGGATGCTACTCAAATAGCCGGTTTCGGTAACGAGTGTCCGGCAAATGCCATGGCACGATATAAAATGGAGCTAAGAGGCACCTGGATGGAGCCAACGTTAAACAAGCGGCTGTTGCCGGGTGGATTTCCGGAACGATGGGTGTGGTCGAACGGAATAGGTTGGTATGCATGCAGTCTACTGTAAGCTTACAATTATTAGTTACGGAATGCTTAACTGCTAAACTGCTAAGCTACTATTCGAGGAACTGAAATACAATGTATTTTATGAATTTTTAGGGGTATCTTTGGATGCCAGAGAGGATCCATATTATAACGAAACTATCAAAAGCAAATTCTATAACTTTGTGCGCAAAGGTGGCTTAGCTCAGACTATATCCGAATTAAACCGATTCGGCTCGGGCGTACTGGATACCTTTATCATACCGGCAACAGCGTCCACGGGAGGTGATTCCACGAGCGTTTTCTTTGTCGACTCCAATCATTCCAGAATATCTTTTATGAGCCGCATGAATCAGAAGCCGCATTGGTTAGTAACGTTACTGGCATACATGTATTCGTTGACCATCGCAAAAATAGTTTTTGATAAGCTAGCATAAAGCATTGTAATAATTGTTTCACGCAAATGAATTACTTACTTTGCCATTTTTGAGGTATGAATTAGGTCCAACAGTTAATTTCGTACTCTAAATTGATGGGATTCAGAGTTACGAAGTAATTTTTAATCAAGCAAACTGCACTATAACGTAACGGTTGATATACTTTAATTCCAGGATACTGTCCGTGGATTCTGTAAATCTGTGTCATAAAGGAAGATTCCGCGATGCCTACGAGCTGGACTTGTTTCCATCAGAAAGCAAATTCTTTCGCCAAGACACTTCTAAATCCGCAGTCGGCCATCCACCAAAACGACATCCAACCAATCCCCGTGGAAACGCCGGACCGCGACACGCGCAGTCTCCTGGAAATCCTAACACATACTACACGGGCCAGGGTCAGTCCATCGTCAGTCCGAAATTTTTCCGTCCTCATCCAACCGCCACCCATCACATTGTCAACACGACGAAACCTCCTCAAACCCTCGTAACGCCCCTGCATCATCCACATAGCGCTGTCTATGTTACATCCAGCACCAAGACCACTACCACCGAGCCGGTATACTTGTACTCCAACGAAATTGACCACGGTCCAATCTTTAAACGCCAGCACAAAGCGTCCGCTGCGACCGATCCTGAGATGACGAGAAAGAGAACGACAGAGAGGCCGTATTGGCAAAGTACCGACACCCCTCGGAAGAAGCCCGTGGTGCATAAGCCAGGTCACCGCCGGAATGACCAAACTCCCGGAAAAGACAACACGCACAAAACCCAGCATACGAATAAGCGGGCATCACACGGTTCACCCGACAGTGTACCGCCGCCGGCCGTTCTCGCTCCTCCAAAACCTGAGCATTAACCCGCACGCAGTAATGGCCCGCAGTGTACGAGCCGCCAATTACGGACCACAGCAGAATTACCGGTATCCTCAGGGTTACCAGCGTTCCGTGCGGTATGATGCGCGAAATTATCCCCATCCTCCCGCCCATTACATCCACCCAGGTCAGAACCGCAATCATCAGGAGCAGCAGCAGCACTTGCCAGATGCGCTGCCCCGTCTGGCCACGGTACGGTTTGTCAAGATCGCTACGTACCATCTGTCGCATCTTCCCCCGGCGATATCCCGCCGGAAACCCCGTATTGCCCACCAAGCGCCCTTACCCATTACGGTGCACAAATCCCTCTTGAAATCACAGTATCTCCCGTACCGCGGACTAAGCCGGACCGCAGCGCAGTCGCCGCCGGTGGTTATGCAACATTCACCGCAGCGCTACCACACTCCGGGCTACGGTTACAGTCCTTCGCAGGCCGTGCAGCAGGCGCTGGCCCCGGTGCAAACCTTCCGCCCACGGGACACTTATGCCCATCGTGTTGGTTACACTTGATCTGCCCATGTTATTAAAACATGATGTTGTGTCCATTCGTCGTGCATGCAGTTTAAATGTGTTAGATGATCTGGTATTCCTACGCACTGTTAGCGGAATTAGCGACAATAGGTCGCCGGGTGATAGAAGGTTAAAAAGAGGGCAAGGCCGGAGACACATGCTTTCCGGAAATGTTGCATTATAAAGCAAAAAAAAATTGGCTTTCGTACTGTACTTATAATATAAACATGCACGGTAATTTTATTAGGCATTTCGTCAATACGAAAATGTCTGACTAACAGTAAATTGAAAAAGTGAAAGTGTGCAAATTCAAATTAAGCACAACCAGGTCTCGATGGTCTCGACGTCCATATTGTGCGCAGTTGCTGAAACACATGGATTTTCCATGGTCGTATCAATTAAACATAATTTTATATGCAGAACGGACAACATGTGCACAAATATAATAATTATTTTATTTTCTGTTTGTGAAAGCCCTTCCTTAATGGATAAAACAAGTATCTGTCTTCATGCGTTTTAATTTGTTTGCCTATCCCAGTCATCAATGTGTAGTGTTGCACTGTGCACATTGCGCAGCTTAGCCGGCCTTTGCTACATCGCATCGATGGTTTTCACAGTTCTTTTTTTCGTCTGGGCTTCCGCGTGAATCATGGCGGTGTAATTTGCCGAACATGCAATTACCAACGGCGCTAGACAGCCGTTTATGGCTGACATTGACAAGATAGGATGCCTACGTATGCATTTGATGAAAGAGTTGTTACATGTTCATCCTCTGTGACTAGCCATCAACAATGCCTGGCAATAAACACCACAGGGTGGTATTTGGTGCGCAGTGCTCTTGTCGGCCGAATATGCCACGACGGCTCTGCGGAAGTCCTATCCACCAAAGTGCCATTGCAATTCGTGTCAGCGCGGTCCGCGGAAAACAGGGCGGATCCCGTAAGGCCCATAAATCTCCGGTTCAGCATGAGCGATGCTGCATGTACAATTGGGGTTTTCAGAGGCGACGACAACAGCACACAGCGCCACTCACGCACACCTTTCAAAACAGATTCCTGCACACTATTACCGCAGCTCCATCCAAAGTAAACCATCATCCCTGCCATATGAAATATGTCCTAGTCTATCAGTAATATTCACAATTGGCACGGAGAGAAAAAGAAGGAACGCTAACATGACAATTATTCACAAACCGGTCCCTGAGTTCTAAAGATAATCGTTGTTGTACGGGTGTTTGGTTAATCCAGTTGTGTGTGTATTCACTTGTCGTAGCCTCTCTAACTTGGCCATATTTTTCGTGACTAAAGCACATGTTGCACAATTTCGTCATGGTTGCCGCAGTGAAGAATTCGATACCTTAAACGTGGTATGAGACTTCTTTAATGATTACGAAAGTGTTGCGGAAGTTTGTACAGATTCACCTTTAAGACCTCTGTATTTTTGTGGTGGCTTATCGTTTGTACAGGTTTGTATACAAATCAAACAATGCCGACCGGTGTCACGGAGACAATGGTTCGCAACGGGAATGATCACAGCCAGCACACGGAAGTGATCGTGAAAAACGGGCATTATGCGGGGAAGAAGCTTTTCGCATCTCCTACGATGTCAGACCGGACTGGGATGGCGCCAATCAGTGTTCCGGAAGGACCGCCTGATGTCAAAGGAGGATCGGTAAGCTGATTCATACAATCCTTGTTGTTTTTGCGCAATGCTGTGCGCATGACAAAAATTGGCAAATTCTAAGAAAAAACCGTTTTCGTTATAATAACTTAAAGACGCACAGTTCCACCATTTGCAAAACGCCACAGCTACGGTTTTAAAAGTATGCTATTTTGTTTGAAAACGCCCTCATTCTGCTGTGATCTTTTACGTTGATTCATAGGTGATGCAGATTGCAGACATGTACGTCATTCATAGCTGTTTAATATTAATTTTGTTGTGAATACTGGATTACTGTGACTGTGACATACTAGTTAGATGTTGCTGAAATTCTTCGCACAGAATTTTATCGGACTGAGTGGAATCCCATGAATATTTGTAGTTGGCAATGCTCTATTTGCCATCGTGTCACCACGTACAGCAAATTACTCGTAGTATAATTACTTAAATATTCAAATTTCTCCGTGGAATATTTATTTGTTCTTGATTTGTTTGCAAAATATACAGTTAGCTACAACAGTCTTTACACGTACCCTTATACATGCATTTGTAAACACCTACATCATGGATTCTTCAGTGTCCTCTATATATGCGACCAGATACATAATTTATCACATTAATTTTCGTGTAGAATAATTTTCATGTACGTGCATACGTATATTGGCGCGCTGTTTTGTACTATGGCGATGCTGACTTAGCAAAACTGCAGCTGCACTGACTGGCTGAACTGATTACAAATTTCAAATCGATTTTAGCAACATTTTCCTAACTGAGCGTATAGACATAAGATTTAAAGAGCCTAGACAGTACGTAAATACTTGTTGAAAACACAAGGCTGGAGGGATTTTTAAAGTAATTACATTCCGCCTACAGATATCATGTGTCTCGAGTCTAGACTGTTTGCTATGCACAGTAATTGCCGGCACAAGTTGGTCAAGAGTTGCCAGGAAGACCAGCCAATGAATTATATCTTGGAAGTAGCAATAAAAGCTCCGGACTAGTCCGTCCTACCCCAAAGAGCAATGAATAAACAAGCAAATTTGTCGCCGACCAAAATATGTACAGACAATACTCGGGGTTGTCGTGATTACGTATTGATCGCAATGACGGGGGGAACGGAAAAGGCAACATTGGCAATGTTGATCCCCAAAGTTTCTCTCTTGGCCAATAAAAGATATTGTAGCTCATCTGAATAGGGAGCGCAGCCCGGTGCATATTTGGAATGGCTGATGAGAATATGCGGCCCAATGTGAATGGCAGCTCCCTGTACGCATAAGGCATAATTTGGGACGCAGTCTCGTATTCCCCAGAGCGTTGATCCATGGGCGCACCAGCAGCCGATTAAGACCGAGCCGCGGGGATATTGCTCATGCTGCCTGTGTGGATATGTGTGTTGTTGTGGGTTGCAGGGCTTCCTAACTCAATATATCCGGCAAACGGGCCATTATTTATGATGAAATGAGGTGGTCAAAGAACTGTTAATTGATTAATGCCGGCACCCCCCAGAAGAAAAGCACTAGCACACTGGCTGCGCCTCTGACCTTTTGTTTGTGTAACAGCGTGTATAAATGCGTTGACGGGCACTTCCGTTGTGTTTATTTGAGCACCGGTTCCGGGAAGTGTACAGAAATGTCGCTGTTCCGGCGTGCTGCAACGAAGACCTCTGCAAAGCGTTTGAATGCTTGTAGAACCTGTTATGCTTGGACATATAATTTAATTGGGATCTCCCGGGCACCGGCAGTTAGTCCACTCATTACAGCCAGACGTCTTGTATAAGTACTGTACTTACTTTCTCGGGTAACAAACTTTGTGCAACAATAAAACAATAAAACGGCATGTAAAGAGATAGTGATTATTATTAATTAGCATTGCTCGCTCGTTAAATTACACCTTTGTTACGTGTCGGCATCTATCACAGGAGCTGTACTAGATTTGCGCACCTACAGTAACGTCATTACTGTGAAGACACTAGTACTGTTCAGTGTCATCGCAAGGCAATCAGTAGCAGAGTGACCTACGTTCTTCGCAATACACTCCAGAGCAATGCGTACATTATTGTCGAATTCAGTTGTAATACTGATGAACGCTTTCGGTTTTTATTTGCGTGATATTTTACAAAATTTTTAACAGGTATCATAATTTTTACTGCATTCTCAAATAAGCACGACGTCTTCTTTGTATATCATTTTAGCCATGTTTTAAAGCTGTTTGGTGACGTAATTACGTAGGTAGAGTAATCTACGGATTCTCGTGAACATATGCATGGGCATTATTCCACCAGTTATTTTAGTGAAGCAGAATGTAAGTATTTAAATCAGATCACTGCAGGATAATAAATAGAAATTAATAGATTCCAAAATTAATAGATTCCAAGTTAAATGAAGCAGCTCTGATGTTTATTAAGCAGAACGTGTAAAAGTCTAGTCATAGATAAACAAATAGAGGATACAGATCTAGATAGAATAAACATGCTTGCTTGAGTTAACATGTAATTCCTTGTTTGCCTACTAATTAAACGTTAGCCTTATCGGAGTTAAGTTACATGTGGTCTGTTCAATTAATATTTCAGTAAACTCATCAGTTAATATTGCCATATTGTTAATATTTCTTAAGTTACGTAATATTTCCTAATTAATTACAGCTGATTATATGGCTTAAGATGCTGCACTTGTACTTTGTAATAAGCTACGCCATTGACAAGGAACTATATAGAAGAATCTACTTGCTATACCGCATCCAGTCATGCATGACTCTATGCCATGGCAGCCATGCTATTGTGCATACTACCCAAACTAAAGATCAAAACAGTTTTATTCTACAGCAGCTCAATAGGATCAACGCAGATCAGCTGTCAAATCCTCCCCCAAACTTTTTATCATCTTCGTGCGCTCTGGATAGCCGCAGCCACATTTGAATTTCATACAGACATATTGGTCTGTGATCCTTGGTTGCAGTGGCAGTTGTCTGCTGAAAGCACTGGCAAAGAGACACTGGGTATACACCAGCTGTCCTATGGATCATTTGCTACTTCCGGTTGAAAGGGCGGAAGATCTCTGTCAGAAAGTTAGGTACAGAAGTCCATTATCATTAGGTAGCATTAATAAATGGACATTTGGCGGGCAGATTTATTATACAGCATATAGCCTCATTTTCTCTCTATATATGTCAGCGTTCTATGATTTTGCGGCCAGTACACACTTTCCCCTCTTCACCACGTCCCAGACCTGGACGCAATTTGTTAAGTGGCATTTTTTTCTCCTTCATACTTTACAAATAGTCCACTCATCCAACTGCTCAAGTAACCTATAAAATTTGACAGTTTTATCGTCGCAGTGGTAATTTTTCACCAAGTGAAAATCCCTGTCAGCGTGACGATGTACCGCATGCCGCTCTCTTCCCCGGTTTTTCCATTGTACTCAGTACGGTGGAAAATAAATGACCACTTTTGTGTATTGCCGGAAACCCAATGCCTCCTTGTCAACATATTTGCGACTCCCTCCGGCGAAATTTCTTACTGTTTTGCATAACCTCAAGAGCTATGTCCAGATTAAATCGCGCCGCTCTCCCCAGCACTGCATCCATACAGGGACTGCTGTATTGCTAGAGACATCAATCATGAGAAATTAGATATCGATATCATATGGTGTATACTGTACTGACTTGGTCCAATCGGGATATATCGGTCAGTTATCCTTTTCCTGTCGGCTTCCGACTTCTGCAACTCAGATACGTTACAGTGATTGAAATTTGTGACGTTTGCATGCATATATTCATATATTTCTCCAAGGACTGCTAGCACTTGACGTTTTCAAGAATATTTTAATTTTTTATTCTGTAGCATCGTAAGAATCAAGTCAAAATGTTAGATGATTAATTTTGATATTTGATTTGCCATCGCGTACAAGACGTTTTCCTGGCCGACTGCATAATGTGCCGATCGAATAGGAAATGTTCCGATTCACTGCAGCCATAAATGGATTTCCAATAATGATGTTTTATCGTGGTACTAAATTTAAATAGTACCATTGTTTTCTACGATAGCGGTTGTATATTGAAAATTTTTTGTGGTTTCACTAGCCGACAGAGAGAACTGCAAAGAGAGCAGCTCGCTTTGATTTGGTGCTAATCGGTTACGTTATCATCGACCTCAACATTACGCAACATTTCTCCCCGGCATTTCCCTTGTATTTAAGGGGTTTGCATTTTGTGTAGACGTTGAGGAAAATTTATCTAATGTGTATCCTCTCCACTGGAATAATTGCCTTGTTAAGAATAGCAAATCTGCTCCTGCAGTTCACTACACTTTACCATCAGAGTTTATATAACAGATAAAAGGCCAAGTGCAAAAATGTATTCCACCTCAATGGATGTTGTGTATTCATACGCTGATCCAAATCGACCATCACGACCTCAATCCATTCCTATTACTTCGTGGGAAACTAATAAGGTAACAGGATAAAATTTGATAATCATGTAAGCTTTTACGTAAATATCCTTTTCTTTTACGTAAATATCCTTCTTCTCGCTCGAAACGTCAGTGTACTTGTATAGTTTTATTGCATTGCATCAGGAATTTTAAAATTTTATCACGATATCAAAAGTTTCTTTGTAGATAAGGAGTTTTGAGCACTAGGGTATCTTTTGCGTTTTGGTGTACTCTGTATATAAATACAGTCTATCGGCGCTAGTGTATTTTATAGGTTTGCGAAAAAAACTGGAATTACACGACATAATTACCCGCTGGTGTGGTGCACACAACTGAACAGAAAAAGGCAGTTAGGAAACAAACTTGCAAGATTTATCTGCGATCCGTTAAATTTCTGTCTTCATTTCGTGGGAAATCTGCATGTACCTACAAAGTGTCTGTAAGTCTAAGCACTATGATTCGTGATTGTTTGGACTTTGGACACTATACCTAATTCGAAACATACCTGATTTGACTTTATTTTTGGAAGTGTCGTGAAATTATTGAATTATTACATTTTTTATTATATGATTAGGTTCACAAGGGA